TATTTACTATATTATATTTACTATATTATATTTACTATATTCACTATATTATATTTATTACATTAATTTAGAAAAGACTCGTAGACGATTTTGTCGATAAAATTTCTTTTTGCTGCTTTCTGTTCTGTTTTTTATTCTCGGGGAATGATGTTGGATGCTTCACCCCTGTAATTTGTTTTATTAAAAATTTTTTAATATAAATAATAAAAAAAATTAAGTAGAGAAGAGCATCCTGAGTGTTTTGTGACCGGTGAACAAGTTTTTAATTTCCTTAACAATTTTTAATATAAATAATAAAGAAAATAAAGAATAACCGTATCCTGAGCGTTTTGTAACTGTTTTTTCTTGTTTCATTTTATTAACAATTTTAAAGATAAATAATAAAGAATAAAGAAAATAAAGTAGAGAGGAACCACGTCCTGAGTGTTTTATAACTGGTGACCAGAGGGCTGGGAGGTGACAGGGGACAGAGAGGTGACATGGGCTGGGAGGGGACATCAACACCCAATTTTGGGATATTTACACCCAAATCTCAGATTTTCACACCCATTTTTGGGATATTTACACATAAATTTGGGATATTTACACCCAATTCTGATATCAACACCCAATTTTGGGACATTCACACCCAAATCTCTGATTTTCACACCCAATTCTGGGATTTTCCCACCCAATTTTGTGACATTCACACCAAATTCTGAGATTTTCACACCCATTTTGAGACATTCACACCCAAAACTGAGACATTCTTACCCATTTTAGGGATATTCTTACCCATTTTAGGGATATTCACACCCATTTCTGATATCAACACCCATTTTTGAAACATTCACACCCAATTCTGTGAAATTCGCACCCAAATCTCAGATTTTCACACCCGATTTTGGGACATTCACACCCAATTTTTTGACATTTACATTTTGGGATATTCACACCCAATTTTGGGATATTCACACCCAATTGTGAGACATTCACACCTATTTTTGAGATATTAACACCCAATTCAGACATCAACACCCAATTTTGGGACATTCACACCCAAATCTCAGATTTTCACACCCAATTTTGGAACATTCACACCCAATTTTGGGATATTTACACACAATTCTATATTGACACCCAATTCTCAGACATTCACACCCAAATCTCAGATTTTCACACCTAATTTTGAGATATTTACACCCAATTTTAGGACATTCACACCCAAATCTCAGATTTTCACACCCATTTTTGGGTCATTCACACCCAATTCTGAGACATTCTTAACTATTTTTGGGACATTCATCTCCAATTTTGGGATATTTACACCCAATTCTGATCTCAACACCCAATTCTGAGACATTCACACCCATTGCTCAGGGCACGAGGGACACGCAGATGTCACCCATGGGGTGAGGGACACCCAAATGTCACCCCATGGGGTGGGTGGGGGCACGAGGGACACGCCAATGTCACTGCACGGGGCACAAGGGACACCCAAATGTCACCCCATGGGGCATGAGGGACACAGAAATGTCACTGCACAGGGTGCCAGGCCAGGCTGAGGCACAAGGGACACCCAAAGGTCACCCAATGGGGCATGAGGGACAACCAACTGTCACCCCACGGGGTGGGTGGGGGCACGAGGGACACGCCAATGTCACTGCACGGGGCACAAGGGACACCCAAATGTCACCCAACGGTGCGGGTGGGGCATGAGGGACACCCAAATGTCACTGCACAGGGCAGGAATGACACCCAAAGGTCATTGCCTGGGGCACGAGGGACACGGAAATGTCACCCATGGGGCATGAGGGACATGGAGATGTCACCCATGGGGCACAAGGGACACACAAATGTCACCCCACAGTGTGGGCACAGTGCCAGGCCAGGCTGGGGCCACAAGGGACACCCAAATGTCACCCATGGGGCATGAGGGACACAGAAATGTCACCTCATGGGGCACAAGGGACACCCAAAGGTCACTGCACGGTCCGGGTTGGGCACCAGGGACATTCAAATGTCACCCCATGGGGCACGAGGGACACAGAAATGTCACTGCACGGAGTGCCAGGCCGGGCTGGGAACAAGGGACACCCAAATGTCACCCCATGGGGTGGGTGGGGGCACAAGGGACACGCCAATGTCACTGCACAGGGTATGAAGGACACCCAGAGATCATTGCCGGGGGCACAAGGGACACAGAAATGTCACCCATGGGGCACGAGGGAGCCAAATGTCACTGCACGGGGTGCCAGGGACACTCAGGTGTCACCCTGGGGTGCCAGGGAACACCCAAATGTCACCCCACAGGCCAGTCTGGGACACGAGAACACCCAAATGTCACTGCACGGTCCGGGTCGGGCACGAGGGACACCCAAATGTCACCCAGGGGTGCCAGGGACATGCAAATGTCACCCAATGGGGCACAAGGGACACGTAAATGTCACCCCATGGTGTGGGCACAGTGCCAGGGACACACAAGTGTCACTCCACAGTCCAAGCTGGGCACAAGGGACACACAGATGTCATCCAGGGGTGCCAGGGACACGCAAATGTCACTGCCTGGGGTGCCAGGGACAAGCAGATATCACCCAGGGGTGGCAGGGACACACAGATGTCATTCCACAGTCCAGGCTGGGCACAATCCAAGGACACACAGATGTCATCCCAGGGTGCCAGGTGTCACCAGGTGTCACACAGGGTTCCAGGTGTCACCCAGGTGTCACACAGGTGCCATCCCAGGGTTCCAGGTGTCACACAGATGTCACCCAGATGTCACCCCAAGGTTCCAGGTGTCCCCAGGTGTCACCCCGGGGTTCCAGGTGTCCCCAGATGTCACCCAGATGTCACCAGATGTCACCCGGTGTCACGCCGGGGGCCGGTTGGCGTTGAGGGACAGCAGGACCAGGCTGTGCGCCAACAGGGACAGCTCCGACACTGCGGAGAGAGAGACACTGGGGACACTGGGGAAACTGGGAGAGACTGGGGAAACTGGGACAGGGACTGGGAGAGACTGGGATGGGACTGGGACAGGGACTGGGATGGGACTGGGATGGGAAC